AATGTGTTGAACTTACTACTCACATAAAGGTCAGTTCTATTTTTTTTGTGTATGCATGTCATGTTCGTTATGCATGTGATGCAACTGATCATCCAGAATTTTCAAACTCTAACAGTACAAGTGTTAGAGATCCAGATACCTTAGGGATCACCACCCCAAGGGATTGCACAAATAGGGTGGGAATGGGAGAGAAGAGATAGCAACCTTTTTAGTTTTTATGTGATGGCACTTAAGGCTTCAGAAATTTACATTAAAAATCTCTAAACCTAGTGATCACTATAACCCAACACACTCATTAATGTAGCACTGTCTTCCAGAACCTTTCTGCACTTTGAAAGGACATTAGAGGACATAAATTTTCATCAATTTTTGTAGTACATAATGAACTGCATAGGTTAATGAAGAACCATCCACTTTTCATACTATTCCATTTTTCTCTTTTTACATGAGCTGATCTTAGTTTCTCTTTTATTATCCAACCCCTCCACACACCTCCCCACACCCTTCTGCCCCTTTCAACTCTATAGCACCCTGATCAAAGCAGATTGTATAGAATATTTATATTTCAAATTACTGCTACTACTGCATTACTACACTGAATTAATATTTTAAAATGATTACTAGTTTAAAACTATCAAAATTTCAATTTTGCTACTATATTCTGCATTATATGTGATATGAGAGATATATCTATCTCTCAAAGTTCTCTAATATGGAAAAATAATTACTTAAAAGGAATCAAGTATGTTAATATTTATATTTTAATATTTATATGTATATTTTAATATTAGTTTACAATTGCACTAATAAGAAAATTTTTTTACATTCTAACTACAATGAATCTAATATATACCAACAAATTTTTGTCAAAAGAAGAAAACCTGAAATACTGAGGGAAAGTGATGACACAGAATGTCAGAAGCCAAATAGCAATTATAGAATTAAACATGGATAACATAACGAAGAACACTAAAGAACTGCAGGAATTTCTAGAAAAAATAAATAGAAGAAACAAGTTTGGAAAATAAAATTGACAGGCAAGTATAAAAGGCAATAATTCAATTAAAACATTAACCAACTCATTTATTGAAATCACTATGACGGATTTGTTTTTTCACTTCCTTCTAATCACTCCAGACTTGACTATTGGACATTATTATCAGGTTTTATCTAATAAAAATCTTGAAATTAACAAATCATAGAGTTCATCCACCAAATAGAACATATATATGTGATCTGTTGTACATATTAAATAGGTATTTACAAATGTACTATGAAATTTTAAACAAATATAGTTCACTAAATGTTTGAGTGCATCTTAGTTACGCTTATTTCTTTAAATTTTTAAAATTTTTGCAAAAAAGAAGAGAAAATACCATGTATACATCATGCTTAATTTCCTTCCTGGACATCTGAAAAACACAGATCATACTAGAAACTCTGATTGCAGTATTGATTGAATGAAAGTGGTTAGGGTTCTCTTTTTTTCCCCCTACTTTGGAATAGGGGAGAGGATAAACTTTCCTGAGCTTGACCATTTGGTTTCTTTAGAACTAAGGACCCAAGAGGTGCTTCCAGCTATCCTATCTCATTATATTTTTCATTAGACTATCAAGGTGCACCTTGAAAGTAAGCTTCTTGTCCTTCATCTACTCCCTCCTTCCACAGGAAGACTTCATTGTTCCAATAACAAGAACTCTTCTTGCTCATCTCCTTACTATATCTTCATTTAAAAGTATATCTTAGTATATAATACAGTTGTATATATTATATACTAACTTGTCCTTATTTAGGTTCTCCATATACTGGCATTCACTTCTTGAAAATTTATCCTTTCATCCTGTCTTACATTTTATTTTCTAAGTTGAGACGATCAGAAAAATGTAACATCATTATAGTACTTTTATTCATCTAATGCAGTCTGAATTATTCTTGATGAGGACACTATAATCATGTATAGTATTCCTCATGTGATCTCACTACTGCCTTATAAAATGATACTTATACTTCCCTACCTCTAATGAAAATATTTCACCAAATGCACCTAGGATTTCTTTTACCTCTCAAATAATCAAAACTCAAAGTCATGTCTTCTTCTGTGATTTCCAGCTAATAAGCTTAGAGAAGAAATTCTTCAGACAGCTTTTGACACAAATTAAAATTATTGTTGAGGATGACATAGTAAGTTTGGTACAATAATTCACATGTAGTAGCAGAATTTTGGATACATGTTAACCTCTAGTTCTCTCTCCACATCTCATTCATGCATACACTTCAAAAAATATGTTTACAAAACAAAACAATATTGTTATCATCTATTCATTCTGAAAAACCTTATTGCCAGAACAATCCCATGGAAGGCAACAGTATTACTCTTTTTCTGTAGTTATTTTGCATCAGTACTAATAAAACTCCACTATTCTGATCCTACTAGCAATATTCTCAAAAAAGCCTACAATAAAAACTATATGTACAGTACATTTTTACAATTTTAAATATCTGCACATATATATAGTAATTTTTAGTAAATTATATTTAATATATTAAATTTTATCTTCTCAAGCATTAATTAATTTGCATAATTTGCATGTGCAATTCTTAAATTACAATCAAGAGCACAGCAAAAAATGCATTCCTAAAGTAAAATCTAATTTTAATATCTATTAAATAGAGAAATAATTTAAAAAGCAATTTATATAAAATTCTTAAGTAGTTCATATATAGTTCCATAGTAATTGAATATGCAGAGCAAGACAAGTAGTTTTTAGAGTTTTGTGTACATTTCATTGTCAAAGAGAAAGTTAAATACTTCAGTAGTAACCTAAAGGAAACTGCAGAAACACCTGTGGAATATCTCTCCATAATGGAAATTCTTTCAAGCCAAATAACAATGATCTCACATTCACAAAAATTCCTTCAAAATATGTCTTTATCTTTGCAATAAAGAATATTTTATGGAAGACAATTGTTGGTTATTTATTGAGGGTCATTTGATATGTTTGAATGACTATTATATTATCAAATATTGGTGTTTGCCAAGTAAAAATGGTAATTTTTTCCTCAGTATATGCATACCACTTTAATAGCAGGCACACATACAGTGTTCTGTGAGTATGACACAATAAAAAAGAAATTAAAGATTTTCTATAAACAATGTTAGCAAAATCAATACTTTAAATGTCATGAGAGAATAAAATGCACACAGAAGTAGGTGTGGGCTTTATTCTCCAATAAGGTCTATACAATTCTGAGTTACTTGTATGTGGGTTGTCGTACCTTTTCATATCTGTGGTACTACTTTATCATGTGACAAATAAGCACTATAACATTAATTTAGCAGCATCTTGTCTCTAAATTATTCTTTCTTTTCATAATTTAATGTTTATCACTTTAAAATGACAACTTTGAAGTATGTGCCTTACCTCTATCTTGTATTAAAGAATAGGTCACAGAAGAGAGGAACACAGAAAAAAGTGGAAAGGACACTGCAGTCTAATGATTACAAGCAGAAAATAGAAAAAACTGCTTGCATATCACATTTAACTGCCAAATTAGTACACTCATACATCTTTAAAATACAAAATATTATTACGGGCCCTCAGATACTCCCTCTTAACTGAAAATAAGACTGCTTTTTTTAACTGGATCAAAGATGTTCTGAAATGAATGCATATCTATACAACCAGTACAAACCAAATTGTTGATTAATTTATACCAGTCAATAACCAGAAAGTACTTCAGATTTGTATTGAAATTAATATGAATTAAATATGAACATCTGTTTAGTGATTTATATTTCATATGAAAACCAAATACTGTTTGTGTTTTAGTTGTTCTACTTAAATTACATATTTTAAAATTCTGAAGAATTGCACCTCTGCTGTTTCAAAAGATGTTAGTAAATGACGCTACAAAACTTATACTAGATGACTATCCAGTAAGACAATAGATTCCAATCTAAAGAAGTCTTTACAAAATATCAGTCATATAATGAAATTTCTGCAAATTGCTTTAGCTATAAAATATGTTTCTCGTCCATATATTTCATATTTGTGTTTATAAATTCTTAATGTACAATTGATTAACATGAAAAATCCAAAATATATAATAAATTATATTCAACAAATACCCTGCAAAATTAAGCTGATCCTTCTCTGAACTTGTGTATGTATAAAAAACCACCACATTAATTTTTTTCTGAATGTCTGCTGATTAAATTAAGAAATTCCAGCATTACTTTTTCTCATCCTCATGTTTCAGATATCGACCTTTACCTTTTAACACAGCAAATCATCATGGTTAGGCTTCACGAAGATTTGGGAAGGGCTCTACCCACGTTTGTTGCAGACGCGTTGGTGGCTAAAAAGGCCAATATGAGATAAACACGTCCGGTTGCAAAAGGCACAGCAGAAAGACTCCTTAGGAGGTATATTCTGCAAGGCACAATTCTTTCTGCGCTGTCTTTGATCATTGATTACATATTTGACGGAATGAAAATGTACAGATGTTTTAAAAAGCCGAAATTTTGCTGAAAATTTAAGCAGAAGGGAGACGAGTACAACTGCATCACCTACTAGTTTAGAACAGCAGCTATTTATAAAGTACATTTTATTATGCTATAGTTAATTATGTCTAAACACATATGCAGAATAGATTAATATCCTAATCTCAATTCTCTAAACTTTCATCAGATGTTACTTACACTAAGCTGCATTATGAAATATAATGATATAAGCTATAAAGTGGCATCAAAAGAAAATTCCACATCTTTCCCTTTTGTCTTTTTATAAATCAAATCAATTTAAATTACCAAGATAATATTATTACTAATTTCATTTTTCCATTTGGCTGCCCCATTAGAATGCAAATTTAGGCAGATTTAATCCCTTTCCCATTTGGTTCAACTACATTTCCTAAAAGGATACCTGAACTTTCACTTTTAACTTACACAAAATATTTTTGCATAACTACATGGGCACAAGTAAAATAATATCCAATACCTCTATGAGTAACAACTGCAAGTTCTTTAGTTCTTTCTATCTGCTCAGCATTTCTTGGTCGTCTTCTTGTGCTTTGTAAATTTGCTTGATGAAGAGAGAGTGCTTCCTTGTAACTGGCCGACTCCCGAACTGATTTTCTTATATTCATAGCTTGCACTTGTTGTTCTTCAGAAGGTTGTCTATGGGTGGTCACTGCACTGGATACAGCAACATCAGCAGATGTGCTAGCAACAGTAATGGCACCAGTAGTGGCCGCAATATGCTCCTCTAACTCACCAGTGGAGGCAGTTTTGATGAAAGAAGAACCTGTGGGACACACAGTAGCACTGGATGCTAACTCTTTCTTTTGAATTGTGTTTTCCTGATCAATCTAAAAGATTAAATTTCCTTCTGTTTAGCATAGTAAAGACAACTGACATAAAAAGAGGAAGGTCAATATGCTTTATTTAAAAATTTGAAGCAATCAGAACATTGTTTAATGCTAGTGAACATTTTGTAATTGTAGTGATATTGCATTTTAAGTTTTAAATGTTCTCAAAACTTATACTATAAACTTTTATACCAGGCATAATGACAGCACATAATTTTCACTTCTGCAAATGCAGTCCTGAAATCAGCATGGCCAGAGCAAAATATACAGCTATATCATTAAAAGGACCCCCATATGTAGAAAAGTGACAACCATCCTATTGAGGAGTGAAACAGCAGCATTATATAGTAACCTAGGCAGCAGGCAAAGCCACTGTACTCCAACTGCTAATAAGGCTGCCAAATACGTTCATTCTTTCCATCAAAGCTTGACAGGGCTCTAAAAGCCCATTTAGACTTGACACAAGGCCAAGGGTAGATGGATAATAAAAAGTACACATTTAAACAAATCATCTCAGCATAATTATTTATACTTAAGATTGTACAGAGGCTTCATGTGTAATTCTCTTTTTGCTCTCTGATTACTGTAATAGGCCAGATTATTTTACTCAAAAACCTCACTCACAAAATGTTGGACAAGCTAAAAAATTGTCTATGAAAACATTAACTTAGTACTTCTAACTTTTTTGTACTTAAAATATATAACCCATGTAGGATTTTTCAGTATTTTATTAACATTTTCATCCTTCCCCATTCCCCACATTGGGTTGCAGATGTTGGAAGCCAAGTCTCTCACCTGTGAGCATTTAGAACATCTAACACAGTAGAAACTCCATCTTGACTGGAACAAATAAATGACTGGGCAATGCATAACAAAATTCACCATAAAAATTTGCATAAACAAACTTGATGTAGCATGAACTGTACTATGTCATACTAGTATCTTTAAAATATGGTTTTTTTATTCCATAATAATGATTAGGAGTTCTTGAACAGTCATTCAAACAATAATGTTCCACACTTCTCTTTTTACTTTTGAGTCGTTCTATCATACAGCCTTTGAGACTTGTCCTTAACGTGTAGTGGGTGATATCAGGATGAAAAGAAGTTTTCCCACTGTTAGAAACACCTATACACTAGAAAATGGGAATAAGACTCCCAGAGGAACTAAGCAATATATATAATTTTTCATGCACAAGGCATATCAGATCTCTGATCAGAATTCTACAATGTTCTGCATAAATAAATGGAACAGATCCTCATGCCGAAAATACTCAGTCTTGCTAATTAAGTCTCTATTGTTTACTGCAGAAATTTTAGGCTAAAAATGTTTTATTTCATTATACTATTAAAAAATACTACCATAATAGAAAACTTTAGCGTTATATAGACAAGTAATAAAGCTGCTGTAGGTACATTATTTTTGCGGTCTTACATTTATTTTCTTAAGATCTGTTGTGCAGTACAGCACTTCTAAATCATACAGTGGTGGTTTCCTCTGAAAAACTAAAAAAACCTTAAAAGCACAATGTAAGACTACAGATTTATGTGTCAGGGACCAAACCAAAAACTGTTTACTGTCCTATGATGACAGGGGTACAAGTAACTAAAATAGACCTAGACACGTTTTATTCTTTATTTCAGAATAAAAGAAGAAAACTGTCATAACAATATATAATATCAAAGGATTAGACTATTTATGATTCAGTATACAATAAATTTTGACAGACTGGTACCAAGCTTAAAACACAGAAAATACAAATGCACGGCCAAGAGATATTTTGTAACAGAAAAATGTTGATTAAAAGAAAGAAAACTTAATGTATGTTACATAACCGCTATTATTAAAGCAAAATTTATGTGGACGCATCTTTATCATGCAAGAAAATGTACAAGAACAAGCAGTCACCTGCTTCCAATACCAAGCTCAAAGCAAAATTAGATTCAGAATCTCAGTCAAATGACCTGTTCTATGCAATTGATTTACAGAGGTACAGTACTTCAAATGAAAACAACTTAAAAGAAAATTCATCTCAAAAGAAAAAAGCAAGAAAAATTAAACTTAACTAAAGTTGCAGAGCTTATACATTGAAAAGTACTACTTTGATACAGAGGCAACTTTCAAGCAGAACACCTAAGTCGCTAGGCTTCCACATCCACTTACACTGCAGAAAAGAACCGATGAAGAAGATCAGTAAAGTCAAACAGCATGGTTTAATTTACACGGAGGATTTTTGAGAGAAAATTAATGTATGTTATGTATAAACAATCTTGTAAGTATCAGCTACTGTATAGAAGAGATCCATTGATCTTTCTCTAAATATAATTTATAATTTGTAAAAGCATGAACTTTGATGTCTTAGTATTTTATGGAAAGTTTTAGACCAATTGAAACACCTATATTGTATGGGCATTGTAACATACTCTCCACTTCAGTCATCTGCAGTCACATCCGACATTTCAGTTTGTCAAAGAGATTACTTTAAAAATTATATTTTCCTATATAATCCAAAATATTATTTTACTTTAATATTCTGGTTAAAAAAAAATAAAGAAAAAAAGAAAATAAAATTTAGCAATAACAAATGGCAGAAGACAGAAGAAAGGAAGACTGAACTCTGCTTTTGGGGAAAGTTTAAACCAACAATTTGCAGTCAGCTGAAGTCATCTCAGAGGTAGGTCATAGCTTTGAATTCACAATCAGCAACTGAGAAAATTTGAGGCTTGAGGAACTGCCAGGCGGCACCATACAAAGAAGCAATAAGGACAAGGGGTTGAGAAAGAGTAATTGTTGCTCAGGGCATGTGTGCACAAAGAAAGAGAACCTGACCAACCCAGCTGAGACCTACTAGACTGGACAAGTACTTCTCTAAGTAAGTCACTGTGGAAGGAGACCAGATTAAAATCAGTAAAACTGAGGTACTTTCATGTATTAAATTAGCCTGCTTACACAAGGAAAGATTTGAAGTAACAGTTACACATAAAAATTTGTAACTATGTAGAAGTGGAAAGAGATCAAGCTGATGATCTACAGAGCAATTCAGTTTAGAAAACTAGTCTGAACAAAACACTACTCAAAAGTGTTGTAACTGCTAAAACTTAGGATAATGCAAACATATGGGAGACCCATAAGTCTTTCTATTTATATATGAGTGGAAGTTCTTGATTACAGGTTCATTTTTAGTAAAGGAAAGAGGCAATAGCCTTTGACATTTGCCTGAAACAAAGTTCCAAAAATAGATTATGAATCTGTGCTAGAAACACACGCTTTGCATATGCAATATACTACAAGTATACACAGGGCTCCTGCTGTAAACATGATAGCAAAGGAAATTTACCCCAGATAAACTCATAGTGGAAGTTCTCATTTAAATTAATTTAATGGACTAACTATTACAATTTCTGAGGAAATAAACTAGGAAGATAATAAATACCTTTGCCCACTCTGCAGAAGCACTCACCAGAAAAAAATTAAGGCAAAAAAATGATATCTAATAGAGTGAAAATGCTTGTTGAAAATTATCTGTTTATTTTCCCTTTTAGAAGACTATAACTTGGGGAAGTTTACTTATTCCATTTCCCCTCTTCTCCAGGTTGAAAAAGCTCAGCTTCCTCATCCTCTTCTCACAGGGCAAGTATTCCAGCCCCCAGTCATCTTGGTGGCCCTCCACTGAACTTGTTTCAGTGAAAAACCCTCTTCCCTGTCATGGGGCCCACAACGTGATGCATTATTCCAGCTATGGTCACAGGAATGTTGAGTAAAGGACAATAATCCTTCCTTTTAGTCTACTGGCCACAATCTTATTAATGTAACTCAGGATGCTGTTGACCTTCCTTGCTGCCAGGGCACACTACAGGGCCATGCTCAGTTTGCTGTCTGCTGTAACACACAGGGTCTATTAAGCAGAGCTCCTTTCTATCAGACAATCCTGTTGCCAGGTGTTCTTCCTACCCAAGTGCAGGACTTTACATTAGCCCTTGTTGAGTTTTGTAGGATTCCTTTTGGCTCATTCCTCCAGATTGTCTATGTCCCTACGGCAACTCTGTCCTCAGCTATACTGACTGTTGGTCCTCAGCTATAATGACAGGCATTTTGGTGTCATCTACAAATCTAATAAGAATGCACTCTGTCCTTCATTCAAGCTCATGGATAAATACATTGAACAGAATTTGAACCAGAACAAACTCCTGTAGTACTACACTTGTTACTGGACTCTAGGTAGAGAGTCTGGCCCATTTATGATTATTCTCTAAATTTAATTTTTTTAACTGCAGTGGTGAAGGAACAGATGAAAATAAGTAAATTGTTTATAAGACCAAATAAATGGGATCTAAGGCTACGGTCCAACAGCTATTCTAATTAATTAGAACTAATTTTGCTGATTAATTCCTACAAACCAGGTTGAGTTCAAAATGTGAAAGCAAACAGGGATATTCACTACCTTATTTATTCAGGATGAATTCAAGATCCAGGACTTTATCAGTCCTTGTGACACATATGATCCAGCCAGAGACTTCTCAAGCAAAGTTAAAGGTCCTTAATGCAGATGACCCTAAATGGAACTCAGACGACAGTAAAGTGCTAATGAGGTGTCTGATGTGAAGTCAGCCTGGGACTTTTCCTGTGTATCTTATTAGCAAGTAAGCCAGTCTATCGTTTTGCAATGGGTAATTGAGAAAGAAATTTAGATTGTCTTCAGCAAAAATTAAAAAGCATATCTCATTAAAGAGAAAAAGAGCTGCTTAAAATTATATATAGAATTTAAAAATTAGTAATAACTATCTTCTTTCTTCTTTCAGATCTTGAAGGAATTTTAGTCAAGACTTATTTAGCTTCCTTATAAACTTCCTATACTTAACTAGCTTTGGAGTGACCAGTGCATCCTATTAAGAAGACTTTTTTTCTTTCCTATCTTAATTAACTGTTCTTTTTGATG